CCAATGTATAGGACAGTGCATTTGATGTTTGTTGCTTGGATTGATAGCAAATCCAGTGATGTGAAGATTTCTCAGATGCCTGCCCAGCAGAATTATTTATATTTATCTCTTAGAAGAACCCTTCTTCCTAATCCTATAGAATCTCAGATTTACCCTATCAGTGTAGTAGGAAGTTTTACTATGTGTCTTAGGCTGAGTTCTCTAGAGAAGTAAAACCAGTAAAGCATATAAATATATATATAGATAGAGATTTATATCAAGGAAATGGCTCACATGGTTGTAGAGGCTGGAACATCCCAAGTCCGTGGATCAGGATAGAGCCTTCACCTGATTCATGTAGCCACAGGAGCTGACAAACCCAAGATCGGCAGATCAGAGAGTAGGACTCTTGCTCACAGGCTGCAAAGATCAGTGAATCCCAAGATCAGCAGGAAAGACCAAAGGTCGGCTGTTAGCTGGAGTCCCAAGAACCAGAGGTCAGATGAACCGGGAGCCAGCTGCAGGATCCAGAATGAGCAAAAGCCTGTAAGCCTTGCCAGAATATCCACTTATATTCAATGCAGGTCACACGCCCAAGGAAACTCCCTTTCAACTGATTGACTACTCACAGCAGATCTCATCATGGAGGTGATCACGTAGTATCAAATCTCATCATGGAAATGATCACAACATCATACGACTGTCAAACCACTGAGAGTCGTGGCCCAGCCAAGATGACACACAACCTTAACCATCGCACTGTGACATCAGAGTGCCTTATGATCGGATGGGAATATTGATTGGAATATGTATGTTAGATAATTCTGACAGGAAGTATATAGTAGCACCAGAGAACTTGGTATTCCCAGAAGTAATCTTTACTTAAAAACGTTTATTTATACATACACACACATAGATATGTATAATGACTTGAAGGGCTTGGTGTAGCATATTTAATTTCCTTGCTTCGCACCATCCCTGAGCCAGGCATTTCTTCATTTGTTTGTTCATTCCTTCAAGCTTCTTTGAGTGCCAACATGTGCCAGTATTGTGCTAGGGACAAGACACAGCATCTGTTCCCAAGGAACTCAGAGTCCAACGAAGAGATGGGCATATAATCCCCCACCACACACACACACAAAAAAATAGTAGAAAGAAAATCACTTGCAGGATTTTATTCTGGTTCTGTAAACTGTTGATATTTAAGCTGAAAAATGTCTTGGAGGTATAAGATGTCCTGTGTTATTTTTAACTATTTTAGAGAGAATGGCTCGTTATGGTTCAAAAACTTTTTCAAGTTATGGCATGTGCTTAGTAGTGGCTATATATAGAAGGCAGGTGGAGTGTACAGCTGCCTATGTGGTATGATTTTTAGATTGCAGTAAAGCTCTCCCTCTTCCCCAAGTGGCCCTGCCACAATACCTGACAGGATCATTCTTTCAAGTTAAGGCTTCAAAGACTTGTATTAAAATGCAGACATTTTTAGGAGGGGGACCCTAATGCCAAAATCATAGTCTAATATTTTAATAATCCTCTTCTTAATGAAATAAATTAATTTTGTCTAAATGCTGCTGCTTATATTACATGTCCTTTTTGAAGGGTGCCCTAGGGAAGACAGTTATAGAGCATAAGATGTGGAATTTGGCTTACTTCACAGTTTAATAAATACGTTCCATCACATGGGATTTATTGAGTATCTTTTATATTCAGGACACAGTCTGCTACCCTCTGAGATGCATTTTAAGCTACAGCATCTGCCTATAAAGAGACTGTATTCTCTTAGGAAAAATAATGCATCCATATATGAAGATCTGACCATGTGATAACAAAGTGTCAGTCAGTGAGTAAAATCATCATCCAAAGTACCAATACAGTGTCCTTAAGACTTGAGGCAGGGGAGACCTGCTCCTTGCTGGACTGATACAGGAACAGTGTACCACAAAAGTCGTGAGGGACTGGGCTTGGAGATGATAGGGAATATTTGGGCAGACAGAGAGAGCAGGGAGAACACTTGCAGGGAAGGGGTAAGGGATAGGTTGAGTGGGGACAGCAAAGAGGTAAATTTCTGGGACAGTGAGTAGATAGACCAGTTTGTTTGGCATGAGGAATCAACAGAAAGGAGGGTGGGAAGGTATATTAGGGCAGATGCCAGTGCCTTGGTGAGGAGTTCAGACTTCATTCCACAGACCTTGAGAAGCCAGGAATGTAATGAGTAGAAGGATGTGATCAAAGTTGTGTTTTGGACTATTTCAGGTTAGTGGTGGAATGCTGAATGGATTAGGGGAGTGGAACCTAGGAATTGGGATGCCAGATATAAGGAGAATGCAGTTGAAAGAAAGAAAGGAGGTATCAGTAGAGGTGGAAGAGAGCAGACAGATGTGAGAGTCACTGCGAAGGAAGAATACTTACTCCAGTCTTCTTGCTATAAACCATTGCTTTAAAAATGCAAGAAGTTTAACTGTTGGGATGATTGTCTTTGGAGTCAGATACACCTGGGTTCAAATCCCAAGTTCTTTCACTAACTTTGTGACACAGAGCAGGTTATTTAACCTCTCCAGGCATCTGTTTCCATGTGAGTAAAATGGGGAGAATGACATACCTGATAAGGATGTTAAAGGATCAGTTGAGAATGGTTTTTGCAGTAATTATTGTCCAATAAAACACAGGAAGCATAACATTATATTTCTTGAGAGACGGAAAGCCAAAGTCTAATGTCGGAAGTAGCTGGATTTTCTGAGTCAAGTTTAAGACATAAGACACTTGTTTTAATTTTTCCTAATTAAGCACACTTGTGAACTATCGCTAACCAGGTATCCCACCCTTATTCCATTTTGCCCCTATCCCAACCATAAGGCAACCCAGTGAGTACTGTGTGTTCTTGGTATTTTAGTGTCTGATCATGTGTTCTGACTGCTTTGTTTCTTCCTCTCTTACTTTCCAAACAGCAGAAACATTTTGTTTAATACCTAAATAATGTGCCTCATTGTAATTTGGCAAACAATAGGGATAAGAGAGAATGGTCATCCACCTGCTTATGTGTCCTCTGGCTCTGGCTTAGTTGGCCTCCATTTATTTAGTGCCTGGTGGCACTGTGGGGAATAGTAAAATGGTCAGGATACTGTTGAAGGATCTCTCACTCTGAGAGCTATGTATACACAGAATGAGGTTACAGAGTAGACATGAAATACACAGCTTGATAGACTTCAGTAAGGAAGAGACTGATTTTATCCCTAGGAGAAAGGAGGGACAACATGATGTGCAGAATGGACAGCCAGCACAGGCCAGGAACCTAGAGGTGAAGGAGTTGGATTTCCAGGGAGCAGAGGGAGGAGAATATAGAGGCTCTGCTTGAGGGGGAAGGGGAAGGAAAGGAAGATGGCAGGAGAAAGTGATTGTTCCATGGAGACCCCCAGCCATCAGCACTTACCTCAGGTCTTCTAGTTACAATGGGAGATGATACACAACACTGTGAGAAACTGAGCATAGCATCTGCCATAAGGATGTTGTTCCTCATATCACCCACTGTCTTCTTAAAATGACATGAGCAAAATTGCTTTCTGTTTTTGAGATATTGGCTGTTTTTATCTTATGGACACTGACTTCTGTCAGTGACAAGGTTTCTTTTTCACTTTGGCTGCTAGATAACTTGATGCAAGTTTGTGACCCACCTGTTGCAAGAATAGAGGACTCCCTGTAATGTGTGTTTGTATTAGCCTTAATTCTGCCTCCATTATAAGTTCCCACTTTCCTTCCCTGCCCTTCCTCTGTATCCCTTTTTCTCCCCTTATTCATCGCTGTGTGATCAGACTGTATTCATATTCATCTTCCTTCTCTGCTGTAATGCATCTGTACAACATTGAGGAGGATAATGAGAAGAATAGCTTACTCAAGAGTTCAGCCTTTACCTGGGACTGACTGTAAAAAAAACAGCAGTTGAAGTACAGAGGTAAGGGAAGGAAATGAAATTTCAGGAACATCTAGCTCACAATTTTAGCGAAAATAATCTTAGGCAAGGCTCTGTGGCCTTGGGGCGAATCTCTCCCCTTCCCAGGCCTTGCTTTCCTTTGCTGCATGGTGAAGTGCCAGCACCCTCTGAGCTATTCCCCAACCTCTTGGCTCTGTAATGCCACCGAGAGAACTGGTGGTGTTTAACAGGGCACTGAGGTTTCAGCCAATAGTGACTTCACCTCTCATGCCTGAGGGAACTCAGTAACCAAGGGAGTGGTTGTTTAGGGAGGAGCTACTAAACTCACTTTTCCCCATTCACTCTCACCTGTCTGAGAATTTTGTATTCTTACGCTGGGGCTGTCCTATCCCTTGGATAGGAAATAATGGTCTAGAGACTCCTCCTCACTCTTCTAAGCCAGCTTCAGGCTTCTAACTTTTCAGTATCTTCTGGAAGTGCTACTTGGCATTATCCTTGCATTTGAACATGAGTTCGCCTCATCAGCCCTGGTAGTTGGATTGAAAGGTGTTAGTATCACTGTAAGTTGCCCAAACCCACTGACTTTCCCTGCACAGCATCTTTTAGATCTGCTGTTTCTTCTGTTCCTTTGCTGAGATATTTGCCTCATCTGAATCTTTTTTGTTACTTCCTACCTGAGTTAGAGAAAGCACTGCCATTTCACCCCTGCTCTAAGGAATCAAGCCTCAAACTCTTTGGAGGCTTTATTTTAGTGATGACAATCCTTTGAGATCAGTTCCTCACTTTCTGCTCTGCATCTAATCTTAGCTTCTGACTTTGAGACTGGAGTTCATTTCTACACATTTAAATCCTTTGTGCCTGGTATCATGATAAAAGCATCAGGGCTTTCTGATGGATGATTTAGTCTTGTCTCATGCCATTGCCTTTGCTTCACTGCTTAATTGTCTCTAGGCCCCAACTCCTTCTCCCTTTCTGGCTGTCTGATTTCACAAACTTCCTCTCCTATTCTGCCTTAATAGCTTTTGGCTTCAGAGGCATGATTTATGCTTCCTCAAAGGGTGATATTTTATTCTCTGAATTATTATTTCTCTTGCAGTTCCGGTGTGGTAGATCCAGCTTCCACTGTGATTAATATGTCCCAGGAACACACAAGGAAGTCAGCTGTGTCTCCAGCTAAGGTAGATTGAACTCAGACTTTGAGAAACTAATTTGTTTGGTCAGAATGCCATTTTTCTCGTTTTATGAAAGCATCATGAAATAAAGAGGATTTTATAGTACTTTTTTTTTTTTTTTTTGTACCAGATATAGATAACTTTTAGTATTTACTGTAGGGAGTCACTCTTACACCAAAAAGTCAATGGCATTGCTGAAGACCCAGATTTCTTGCCCTAGGAAGTACAAGGTCTGAAGCTACTTGAGGCTGCTGCTTTTAAGCATATGGAATGGAGTTTGTTAGTTCTCTGTCAGTCCTTATTCCTACTCATAACTTCCTGAATCTCTATTGGAAGTCTGTAGGAGGGAATGTCAATTTATGAAACTTCAGACAGTAAACATTGATATTCAGTCTTATATTAACAAAAAATATCCATTTATTGATACCCTTTCTGTCATTAGAATTGATTATCATGATAATGATCATGAAGTACTTCAGGATAGCTAAATACCTTCTAAATCCTTCTAGAAAAGGTCAGTTACAGTTGTACTTGGTACTGTTTAATCTAGTACAGTGAGAATCAGCTATAGTAGAAAGAACACTGGTAGGAATCTGATCTGATTAGAGTTTCAAGTTTGCCCTAACCTTGACCAGGTCTATTGATATATCCAGGCCCAAGTTTTCTTACCTGTTTAATGTGAGATTTAGGTTTGAATGCCTATTTCTGATCTAACCTTGTAAGACTCTGGAATTGATTGTGTTTTATACAATTTTAGTGTTTTGTATGGCCTATATGGTAATTCTGTGCTAATCAGATTAATCAGGAGAACCATTTTTAAACGTGCTAGATAGTAGAGTTTGCTGGATAAAACTATCAAATATTGGAGATAAGCGTTTTCTAACACTGAGTGACTGTTAAAACATTTTAAATGAGTTTAATAAACAATATTTTTTCCCCAGCAAAGGAAGAATCCATTTAATAGCTCCAAGTTGCCAGAAGATCACTTATCTCAACAAACCAAAAATGAACAGTCAAAAAATGGAAGGACTGGTTTATTTCAGACTTCAAAAGAGGGTAAATATTATTTTTATGGACTAAATATTTTTATCTTTGTTATCTGTGGACAGAGGGAAATTCTCAGAGTTCCTTACACTAAAATAACTTTCAAGAGAAAGTGAAAAGCCCTGATGGTTTTCTAGTTCTTCTGTGCCTATTGGTTTCCTGCCTGAGGGAGAAGAAGCAGAAATTTTAGGAACTGGAAATTCATGCATTCCAATCTTGGCACTGCTGCTTGTTATGTCACCTCCATGCCTTGGAGTTAGCCATCAGTGAACTGGGAAATTTTGTGACCAGAGGCATTCAGTCATTCCTTTAGCAGTATTTATTGGATGCCTACAATGGGTTGGAAACCCTGGTGGCGTAGTGGTTAAGAGTTATGGCTGCTAACCAGAATGTTGGCAGTTCAAATCCACCAGGTGCCCCTTGGAAACTCTTTGAGGCAGTTCTGCTCTGTCCTATAGGGTCGCTATGAGTCAGAATCGACTCGACGGTAACGGGTTTGGGTTTTTTTTTTTTTCTTTTTTTTTTTTGGTACCGTAGGTGGACACTGTTCTCTGTTTAAAATTGAAGAGGGTTTGCCTCAACAAAAAAAGGTCAGTTGGGATGATCCCCTAATCTGTAATAATCGGCCCAGTCTCTCCCTGGAGTATTTGATCACATTTGTGGCTTAATTGATTTAAATCTGCCTCTTATTGAGTGTTAGTCAAAATTACCATTCCCACCTACCATTAAGGAGCCCTGGTGGTGTAGTGGTGAAAGCACTCGGGTATTAACCGAAAGGTCAGCAGTTGGAACCCACCAGCTACTCCGTGGGAGAGAGTGTGGCAGTTTGCTTCCATAAAGATTGACAGCCTTGGAAACCCTATGGGGCCATTCTACTCTGTCCTGTAAGGTCACTATCACTATGAGTTGGAATTGACCTACCATTAAGAGGAAATACCAGATGATTCAGTCACTTCAAAAGCAATTGCAAGACGATTCCACAAGCATTAAAGATTGGTCAAGGGGTAAAAAAATAACAGTTGAACGTGGAATCAGAGTTTTCTATTAGCCTGTTTTAACTTTACTGTCTTTTTCCCTCTTCATTGGGCATATTTAATGTATTTTTTAGATCATATAAAATCACTGGAACATGTTACTGCTGTTGCTGTTGTGCTTTTTAACTTTTTGACAACACAAATCTTTGTTTTAGGTATTGAGATTTTGTTTTTAAAAAATTGAGTTCCCTTTTCTGATTTCCATATGGGAATTTTTTTAAGTAACTTCTGTTTTTATTCCTTAAAACCTGAGAAATTTTCTTTTAATTATTTTTTAAGAACTTTTTTGAGAGTAAAATTCACAAAGTTTGTAAAGCACTGTAATATTCAGTGTACAGTGCAATGAAATTAATGCATGAGTTTTTCAAAGTTTTTTACATTAGGTCTGCACTTATGTTACATGATTTTCAATTGCAGCACAGGGCAACATTTCATTCTGCTATACATAAGGTCACTATGAGTCAGAGTCAACTCAATGGCAACTAACATCAACAAGTTTTAAATTATAAAGCTACTGTCTCCTTGATATATACCACCTAATGGTTCTTAATTTTCAGGTGAATTGTCAGCATCAGAAGATAAGTCATCTGTCCCGGATATTTCAAGCCAAATATTAGAGAAACCAAAGCCCACTTTTCCAGACCTTCTGAATGGTTCCCAAACCAAGGCTCCAGTCCCCAAAGCAAGGAAAATGATCTATAAATCAAATGATTTAAAGCAAGATGATAACCAGTCTTTTCCTAGACAAAGGACAGACTCCTGGAACACAAAAGGGGCTCGGAGAGGGATCCTGAAGCGCAGCTCCAGTTCCAGTAGCACAGACTCAGAAACTCTGCGTTTTATTCAGAACCTTGAACCCAAAAGCAAAATTGTGTCATCAGGTCTAACCATCCATGAGAGAATCTCTGAGAAGGAGTATTCTTTAGGAGATGACTCCTCTGCAGACACACTGGAACCATTAAAGCATGTGAGGTTCTCTGCAGTGAAGGATGAACTTCCACAGAGTTCTGGGCTAATCCACCACCGAGAAGTGGGAGAATTTAATGTTTTAGAATCTGACAAGTTGAAGAATGCAGCGGAAGATGCAGGGAACACAGATGGGCTTCAGAATGAGCTTGAGCCTTCCCGATACAGAAAGCCTTTACCATTTTACCAGCCAGCCTCAAGCCCTAGTGCATCAAAGAATCAAACACAGCAGCCAACAACTTCTGGTTGTTTTGCAGTCAATGGGCACTATTCTCACTCAGAAGTTTTAACTGAAAGACCACAGTCCTTTGAGAATTCACCCACCATCAATGAATACAAAGCTAAATCATCAGAATTATCAAGGCTTGAGTCAGAGTTGTCCAAAAGCCCTGCTGGTAAGAGAGTTGTTACCAAGTTGTAGAAAAGGACACAGTGGGCTTGAAAGGGTCAGGCCAGCCAGCCCTGTAGAAGCATAATTTTGCCTACTAGGCATTCCAGCATTCAGGAATTTTTAGAATTCAGGCAGTTGTTACTGGGGAATGCTTATATTTAATGGATTTGGAGGTTTTCCTTAGTCACCAGTAACTAAAAGTACCAGATAGAACAGTTTCTGGCCCCTTTATGCTGTATCCTAAAAAATTAAACTATAAATTATTTAGCTAAACAGATTACAGTGTTTTAAGTTAAAGCCAGGTGTATGTAGAGAGTGAGAGTTAAAGAAATACTAATACCTTTGTATGGAGCAAATACCTTATTACTCGCCTAATGAAAATTTATCAGCTACCGTTTAACCAAACTTTGATTTCTATTTTAATCTCAAGAGAATCTTCACTTTCTTAACCTTGAAGGAAAGGAAACTAAGTACTTACTATGAAAAACCCTCAGACTGTGGCATCCCTAGAACCTCCAGCCTTTTGTTCTGAGAGTTTAAAACAGAGCTTCCAACTGATTTGTTCCAGTTCAAACTTCTGCTGAAAATTTGCATTTCTAACAAGTTCCCAGGTTATGCTAATAATGCTGGTTAGGCACCAATTCTGAGAACCACTGGTAGAACAGTGGGTCTCAAAATTTATTATACATAAGAATCACCTGGGGTTCTTGTTAAACTGTAGATTCTGATTCAGTATATCTGGAGTGGAAAGGCAAATTCCCAGCAGGGGTTTGAACCGGAACCAACCTGGGTCAAAGCTCTGATTTAAAAGCTCTGAAGGCAATTTCTCCTTCAGCTAGTATGAGTTGAGTGGCAAGGAGGGTATTGCTTTTTGCTGCAAACTAGCTAACTACCCCTCTGTCGAAGGTCTTACAACTCTCAGGTGATAGCTTGAACTGCTTTCCCATAACTATATGATTATTTCATAATTCTTATGTTTTAAAAACAGAAACAATGAGAAAATTGCTGGGTATTCTCTCTCATCTTCAATAAGTCGACATCCACCACTGATAATATCTTTACAATCAGGAAAACTTACAGTAGCAACAATAGTTCCTAACTCAGTTGCTCTCTCCACCCACTCCCCCACTCAGTATTAGGTTAATACTGAGTCACTTGCTGAGCGCTCCAGTTTCATACTTGTTCAGGTCAATCACCTTAAAGGGCAAAGCACTTTCTCGCTCCCTGGGCGCTTGTGCGTGTGTATGTGCTTTAGGTGAAAGTTTATGGAGCAATTAGTTTCTCATTCAAAAACATGTACACACATTGTTTTGTGACACTGGCTGCAATCCCCGCAGTGTGTCAGCACCCACCCCTTTCCACCCCAGGTTCCCCATGTCCCTTCATCCAGTTTTCCTGTCCCTTCCTGCCTTCTCATCTTTGCCTGTGGGCAGCAGTTGCCTATTTGGGCTTGTATACTTGATTAAACTAAGAAGCATGTTCCTCACAGTGTGTTATTGTTTGTTTAATTTTTAAAAAAAAATCAAACCTGTTGCCGTCAAGTTGATTCCAACTCATAGCGACCCTATAGGACAGATTAGAACTGCCTCATAGAGTTTCCAGGGAGCGCCTGGTAGATTTGAACTGCCAGCCTTTTGGTTAGCAGACTTAGCACTTACCCACTATGCCACCAGGGCTTCCATTTGTTTTATAGGCCTGTCAAATCTTTGGCTGAAAAGTGGGCTTCGGGATTGTCTTCAGTTCTGAGTTAGCAGGGTGTCCAGTGGTCATAGTCTTGGGGGTTCCCTCAATCTCTGTCAGACCAGTAAGTCTGGTCTCTTTTTATGAATTTGAGCTTTGTTTTACATTTATCTCCCACTCTGTCCAGAACCCCCTATTGGGATCCCTGTCAGAGCATTCGGTGGTAGTAGCCAGGCACCATCTATTTCTTCTGGGCTCAGGCTGGTGGAGGCTGTAGTTCATGTTATCCTTTAGTCCTTTGGGCTAATATTTTCCTTGTGTCTTTGGTTTTCTTCATTCTCCTTGTCTCTGGATGGGATGGGACCAATAAATGTATCTTAGGTGGCCACTCACAAGCTTTAAAGACCCCAAATGCTACTCACCAAAGTAGAATGTAGAACATTTACTTCATGAACTGTGTTATGCCAGTTGACCTAGATGTCCCCCCAGACCATGGTCCCCAGCCCTCAGCCCCAGCCATTCAAGGTGTTTGGATTCTAGGAAGCTTCTGTGACTTTGCCTTGGTCAAGTTGTGCTGACTTCCCCTATATTGTATGTTGTCTTTTCCTTCACTAAAGTTGACACTTGTCTGCTACCTAGTTAGTGATTTCCTCTCCCCATCTCTCCCTTCCCTCATATTCATCAGTTTTTTCTCTGCGTGTAAACCTTTTCTTGAGTTTTCATAATAGTGGTCTCATACAATCTTTGTCCTTTTGTGATTGACTTATTTCACTCAACATAATGCCCTCCAGATTCATCCATGTTGTGAGAAGTTCCGCAGATTCATCATCATTCTTTATCATTGTGTAATATTCCACTGTGTGTATGTACCATGATTTATCTATTCATCTGTTGATGGGCGCTTAGGTTGTTTCCATCTTTTTGGTCTTGTGAATAATGCTGCAGTGAACATAGGTGTGCATATATCTATTTGTGTGACAGCTCTCATTTCTCTAGGTTAAATTCCTAGGAGTGGGATTGCTGGCTTATGTGGTATTTCTATTTCTAACTTTTTAAGGAGGTGCCAGTAGTGGTTTTCCGCAGTGGTTGTGCCGTGTTACATTCCCACCAGCACTGCATAAGAGTTTCAATCTCTCTGCACCCTCTCCAAAATTTATTATTTTCTGTTTTTTTTTGGTTAGTGCCAGTATTGTCGGGGTGAGATGGTATCTTATTGTAGTTTTGATTTGCATTTATCTAATGGCTAATGATCGTGAGCATTTCCTCATGTGTCTTAGTCAGCTGAATGTCTTCTTTGGTGGAGTGTCTGTTCATATCCTTTGCCCATTTTTTAATTGGATTATCCCATTTTTTTAACTGGATTATTTGTCTTTTTGTTGTTGAGATGTTGAAGTATTTTATAGATTTTAGAGATTAGACCCTTGTTGAGTATGTTGTAGCAAAAAATTTTTTCCCAGTCTGTTATCTTCTCGTTTGGTGAAGTCTTTTGATGAGCATAAGTGTTTAATTTTTAGGAGCTCCCAGTTACCAAGTTTATCTCCTGGTGTTTGTGTGTTGTTAGTTATGGTTTTTATACTATTTATGCCATGTATTAGGGCCCCTGGCACTGTCCCTATTTTTTCTTCCATTATTTTTATCATTTTAGATTTTATATTTAGGTCTTTGATCCATTTTGAGGTAGTTTTTATGTATGGTGTGAGGTATAGGTCCTGTTTCATTTTTTTGCAGATGGACATCTGGTTATGCTAGCATCATTTGTTAAAGAGACTGTCTTTTCCCCATTTAGTGAACTTTGGCCCTGCCATAGTTATCTAGTGCTGCTTTAACAGCAGTTACCACAAGTGGATGGCTTTAACAAAGAGAAATTTATTCTTTCACAGTTTAGGAGGCTAGAAGTATGAATTCATTGCACCAGCTCCAGGGGAAAGCTTTCTCTCTCTGTCGACTCTGGGGGAAGGTCCTTGTCATCAGTCTTCCTCTGGTCTAGGAGCTTCTTAGTGCAGAGATCCCTGGTCCAGACGACATGCTTGCTCCCAGCTCTGCTTTCTTGGTGGTAGGAGGTCCCTCTGTCTCTCTGCTTGCTTCTGTCTTTGGTATCTCAAAAGAGATTGAGTTATGATACATCCTATTCTGGTAGATTGAGTCCTGCCTCATTAACATGGCTGCCTGTAATACTGCCTCATTAACATCATAGAAGTAGGATTTATAGCATGTAGGAAAAGCACATCAGATGACAAAATGGTGGACAGTCACACAATACTGGGAATCATGACCTAGCCAAGTTGACACATATTTTTGGGAGACACAATTCAATCCGTGACAGATGCTTTGTATTATTTCGATGTTCCGGATTTTGTTGAGGCTTGTTTTGTGGTTTAAAATGTGATCTATTCTGGAAAATGTTCCATGTGTTGGAAAAGAATGTATACTTTACTGCTGTTGAGTGAAGTGTTCTGTATAGTCTGTGAAGTCGAGTTGGTTGATAGTGGCATTTAGATCCTCTGTATCTTTTTACTGAGTTTCTTTCTAGATGTTCTGTCCTTCACCTAAAGTGGTGTATTGAAGTCTCCTACTATTATTGTGGAGCTATCTGTTTCTCTTTTCAATGCTGTTAGAGTTTGTTTTATGTATTTTGGAGTCCTGTCATTGAGTGTGTATATACTTACTGTGGTTATATCCTCCTGGTGTGTTGACCCTTTAATCATTATATAATGTCCTTCCTTAACCTTTATGGTGAATTTTGCTTTAAAGTCTGTCTTATCAGAGATTAACATTGCCACTCCTGCTTTTTTTTTTGTAGTTGTTGTTTGCTTGATATATTTTTTTACTATCCTTTGAGTTTTAGTTTGTTTATGTCTTTGTACCTAAGGTGTGTCTCTTGTAGACAACATATAGATGGATCGTGTTTTTTATCCCTTCTGCGACTGTCTCTTTACTGGTACATTTAAGCCATTTATATTCAGTATAATTATTGATAGGTATGAGTTTATTGCTGTTGTATTGTTAATACTTTTTTCTGTGGTGTTGACGGTTTCTTTGTTCCGTTTAATTTTCTGTGCTGAGTTATTTTTGTTTATGGATTTTCTTTTCATTTCTTATGTTGTTTATGTTTACTGTGTCTTTTTTTTTTTTTTGATGGGTAGGTTTGTTCGCTTCCTTTGTGGTTATGTTGAAATTTACCTTTATTTTCCTAAGTTTAAACCAGTTTTTTTATTTCTTGGTATCACCTTGACTTCCTCTCCATATGGAATTTCTATAACTGCACTGTCTTAGTCATCTAGTGCTGCTATAACAGAAATACCACAAGTGGATGGCTTCAATAAA